CACTCATGGAACTACATTCTAACAGGAAAGAGAATCAATATGATGCTATGTGGAAACACACGTTTTGAAGAAACACAAAGCAGAATAAAAAGACAGAGTGACAAAGGGAGGCTATTTTGGGGAAGTGGTCAAGGAAGATCTTTTTGAAGAATTAAGATCTGTGCATAGGGCTTCCCTGGAGGCTCAATGGTAAAGAAACAACCAGCCAATTCAAGAGACACGGGTTCAATCCCTGGTCCGGGAAGATCCAAAATGCCATGGAGCAACTAAGACTGTGAACCACAATTACAGAGCCTGTGCTCTAGAGCCTGGGAACTGCGACTACTGAGTCCATGCACCCTAGAGGTGAGCTCTGCAACAGGAGAAGCCACTGCAATGAGGAGCCTGTGAACTGCAACAAAGAGTAGCCCCCGCTCACTACAACTAGAGAAAAGCCTGCCCAGCAATGAAGACCCAGCACAGTCACACATAAATATTTTTTGAAAAAAAGATTTGAGCAGAGAATTGAACAAACTGAGGAACAAGCCATGTAGATCTGGGGAAGGTGGACTCCATAAGCATTAGAAGATGCAGAGGCCCTGAGATGGATTAAGCTTGGTGCATGTGGTTCAGAAACTCCCCTCCAAGTAGTCCAGGATGGCTGTAAAAAATGAAGGGAGACAGCGCAGCAGATGATGCTGGCCATGCAGACAAATCACAAGGTTCCTGCAGGCCACAGTAAGAGTGTGGAGTACACTCTAAAAAGGTGATGGGAAGCCACTGGTGGATTTGAAGATTACAGTAACATCATCCAATTAATATTTTAAGAGTACCACTTTGGTTGGATGGAAAACAATTTGTAGGTAGGTAAGAGAAGAAGCAGGGAAACCAAACATAGGTTCCAGGTGAGGCACAGAAGGGTGGCGGAGGAAGTGGTAGGACATGAGCAGATCTGGATATTCCTGGAAGGCAGAACAGCAGAAGATGCTGGTGGTTGGCTGCACAACAGGTGAGAGAGGAGGCAGTCATTCATACTGCTTAGATAGCTAGGCAGGGAGGAACGACAGTGTCTAGCAAGAGCGGTCTGGCTTAGGCTGAGGTGGTGGAGGGATGCATGATATGTATTCAAGAGCTCTGTTTCAGACACTGTAATTTAGATATTTATACTGAGATGTCTCCATTTAGTCCTCACTTCAATATTAAGCTTTCAAAAAAAAAAATTCAGCATGTTATTCTGCTATCCACAAACCTTTGAGAGGATCTCATAGCTTATTGAGTAAATTTTGACCTCCTAAGACGAGAAGTCGGAGAAGGCAGTGGCAACCCACTCCAGTGCTCTTGCCTGGAGAATCCCATGGATGGAGGAGGCTGGTGGGCTGCAGTCCATGGGGTCGCTAAGAGTCGGACATGACTGAGCGACTTCACTTTCACTTTTCCTTTCATGCACTGGAGAAGGAAACGGTAACCCACTCCCGGGTTCTTGCCTGGAGAATCCCAGGGATGGGGAGCCTGGTGGGCTGACGTCATGGGGTCGCACACGACTGAAGCGACTTACCAGAAGCAGCAAGATGAGAAGTCAAACTTTTTCACAATGATCTCTCTCCCCATCTGTCCTGTTATTTTTCTGTATTCCTTACAGTGTCTGGGAAATTTGAGTATATTTTGTCTGATACATTGAGTATAAATGTCTGATAAATGAATAAAAATATTTGTGTTCCCCCTTTACCTTATTCAAAGGCCACACTAAAGCTGACCTCCTCAATGAAATCTTACCCAATCACAGCGGCTATATTACTTTTCTCTAACTTAATACTCCTACCCAGCAGTATGCTGGTAAATCTTTTAAAAGCTCTCTAAAAAATGAAGCCCTCACCTGTAGCATTTGCTACACGTAGGATGTAAACACTCTCACCATGGATGACTGCAAGTCACGATGACCCTGATGACTCTGAATATGGAGTTGAGAAGGTATGGGCGCAATCAGCTTGGTGAGCTGGCGACATTCCAACACCATTGCTTCTACAGTACTAACGGTCCAGACCATTTATAAAGTCACTTACTGCAGAGTGATTTTTACTGCGGTATCTGTACACAGGTCTTTTCCCTATTAGACTGTTAATATGTGGAGGGTAAAAACTGTGACGTATGCATTGCTACAACCAGCTAAATGACCTTGGGGCCTCAGAGTTCAAAATGGAGAGTCAGACCTAAACTACAGAATTCCATAATTCTATGTTGAGTCAGACCTAAACTACAGAATTCCATAATTCTATGTCTGAATGATCCATGTGTCTCTCAAATTTCTCAGTTCACTAATCTGAATGGGGGCACTGGAATATGAAATCATACTTCCTTATTATTCCAAAATAAAATCTTCCTTGAAAAAGATGAAATAGAGAAATAAATGATAACAGTTTAGGCTCACGAATAGAAAATATGATCAATGAGGAATCTATATAATCATTTTTTAACTAAAGAAAAATAAGACTGTATTTCTTCTACTTTAAAGGAATTCAAATGTACACACCCACTAGCCTAGGAAGCAAAATTAGTTTTGGACTAAAGTATAATCATTGAATAGAAAAAAAAGAACACAATGAAACAATAAAGGAAGACTAAAAGATATAAAGTTAGGCTCCGATTGGAGCATAGAATGAAAATAAAAGCTTCTGGAAATTTTCATAAAGTAAAAAACATCGAATTAAAGAAAAATAAAATTCTCATGCTTGTCTATGCCCATTTTTCTGATATGTAGGCCATGAGGGTGAGTTTAAACCCATGTGAAAGACAAATTCTTTTACTTCTTCTTTGCTCTAAGTAGGATGAAATACATGTAAGCTAAGGCACAAAAATTAGACTTGTATTCAGGTTACTCAGAAATGATTAAAATACAGATCCTCTGATACCTCTTGTAACAGATGCTTCTGCCTAAGCCCTGTTTCCTGTTCTATTCGCCACTCTGTACTCCCTTAATTTCACAAAGCCCAAGCCAGGTCTGTCTTCCCCAAGTGTGGAGGGGTGCAGGCAGTGCTGGGGTGACACAGTGAAACAGCCGTAGGGGGCAGGGCAGGGGAGCTTTGAGGAGCAGGGATGAGTAGGAGCCAGGAAGCTGGAGAATGGCAGAGCAGGCGTCAGACACAGACTCTAGGAAACCATCCAAAAGAATTAAGAGAAGAAGACCCAAAGGGCCAGGAAGGGTCTTCTGTCCAAAACAAAGTTCCATTAAAAAGACTGCTGGTCCTGCTAGAATATTTCCCATCTCATATATCTACAAAGACTGAAACCTCTAATATAACACTCACTTCCACTTTAATGTGAAATCCTTTGTTTAGTTTTCTCTTAACTTTCTTCAGGTAGACAATCCTGAATGTAACAGCTATTTGCCAGCTTATCTACAGCAATGGGTGTGCCCTACATATTTTAGAAGTGGGAAAAAGGAAGATGTTGTAATTTTGGAAATGGTCTGATGGCCTGAAGCAGAACAGAACAGTTTCACCTTTGGAGGCAATTAATTCTTGTTTATCTTGATATTTATGGTTAATCTGCTTTGAAAATGGATTTAAAATTTTTTTCTGTAAAGTTGGCAAAAATTGCAGCCACATGTAACAAATTATGTTATAATACATAGAACTAGAACCAGATGCAAAACATTATATCCCCTTGGGAATGAACAATGTAGACTGAATGTCCAAAAAAAAAAACCCGACAAGGATACCAGAATATCAGAGAGGCATGGAGGAAATCTGAGTAAATGAATAATGAATAAAATAACTTGATAGAAAACAGGTGGGAGAAGCAGTGTGCCCTCTTTACAGTGCCAAATCCAGCTAGAAAATGTTTAGCTCAATAGTTCCTGATTGAAAAACAAGGCGGACTTTAAAGGATGTTTTTCATTTTTACTGTAAATTGGATTATGTGGTAAAATTAAACCTTCCTAAGTACAGAACATCACAGAGGAGAATTACCACTCTATCCAGTAAAACAAGTCCTTCTAGATCCCTAAGGAGGGATGCAAAATAAGTATACAGAAGGTAACTAATAAGGAATGCTAACATGGTGACCAACTTCTAGTGAGAGTTGTTTTCTTATTTTTGTGTGAGTTTCAAAGGTTTCAAATTTATTCACAAAACCTCATAAATATTCCTGGAGGTATACTCCCTTTCCAGAGTAACAATGTAAGTTACTATGAAATACCAGTCACAAATGGGCAGGCTCAAAGTACTCTGGAAAGATACTGCATGTATGTACTTGTGTAATAAATAATCCTACAAAAAAGCCTATGCTGTTTATTTTGAAATTCATCGTGATCACAAATAGAAAGATAATAGTGGATTTCTGGCACTAAATTGCTGAGCTGTGGCTTGTCGAGTTCTGCACTTGCTTATCAACTGGTGACTCATGCAGTCAGTCCTATTTAATTATTAGCTTTGCAGGAGTCTGTTAAGAATTCATAAATTGAGAAGTTGTGTAAATGAGCGAAAATGTGCAAATTCGCTTAATTATAGTTATAGATGCTCTGGAAATAAGCGAGCCTGACATAAGAAGATAGATTTAGAAAAACCACCACCTTTCATTTATGTCATTTTGAAGCATAACATGCAACTTCTTGCTGGTGAGAAAGAAGTAAATTGCTCACTTCTAGTAAGTGGTTTTAGGAAATTGGGATAACATTTAATAAATTTTACCCTCCATTGCCCAAATGGTATCTAATGGCTTGGAAAAAGATGTGATACTTTCAAACTAAAACTTTTCCATTTAGAATCTTTAATTTGTTCAGTTCAAATATTAAAGCAAACAACTGTAAGTGCTTCTCAATATTTAGGACTGTAGATATAACATAATTATTAAGCACACTATTTCCTAAGTTTAAGAACACTTCCTTAATTTCATACAATCTAAAAAATTTGTTAGTCCTATAAAAAATAACAAAATACAGTGAATTAACATACAGTGTTTTATATTTCTTTAGCTAGCAAATGTCAAGGAAAATGATCTTCCCTAATCCACAGACTATTAATTACCTGGTTTAAGAGATCTTCTACTTTCTTCTGCCATGAATCCCTGGCTGCATTTTTCTCTCGCTCTTTTAACTGCAAAAGTTGAGACATTGCTGACTTTTTATCCTCTTCATGTTGAAGCCTTAACTCTTCACGAAGTTTGGAACACTCTTGTCTGAAACAGAACAAATGTGTTTAATTTGTAAAGAGAATATTTCCTCTCAATAACTACAGTATAGTTTTTTCAAAGGTTTTCTAAGCATTTAACTAATCTGCCTCAAAAGCCGGCTCAGAGGTGCTTATTTTATCAATAAGTTAAGGATCATAAGGTAAACTGGGAACTTACCAAGATCACTGATTAATCAAATTACTGAAGGTAGAATAAGTTCTAGAACAATAAGTCCTCTGACTTCAGATTAGTTCTCCACTTATAGTCAGGAGAAGGAAATGGCAACCCACTCCAGCATTCTTGCCTAGAGAATCCCATGGACAGAGGAGCGTGGCAGGCTACTGTCCATGGGGTCGCAAAGAGTGGGACACAACTGAGTGAATTCACTTCACTTCACTTATAGTCAAGGAAATGAAATAAAAAGTTGTCTGTATTTAAGTAGAAAAACAGAACTCCAACTTCTCTGCATTTAACCATGGGAAAAATTAATTAAAAATGCTGCTACTATGGACTTCCCTGGTGGTTCAGTGGCTAAGACTCTGTGCTCCTGATACAGAGGGCCTGGGTTCAATCCCTGGTCAGGGAACTGGATCCCACATGCCACATCTAAGAGTTCACATGCTGCAACTAAGACCCAGCAAACCCAAATAAATAGGTCTTTTAAAAAAAATGTTGCTACTACATCTTTAACAATAAGACAATGTAAGCCATTTAAATAGAAAACCATTTTTTTTTTTGCATATATGTACAGAAAGATGACATTAGAGAGTAAAAATGTACCTAAGGTTTTCAGTCCATTTCATCTCTAAGTCACGGGCCATTTTGTCCACTTGTAATTTCTCCTCTTCTTTCATGGCAGCCAGTGTTTCTTCATGCTGTCGCCTCTCTTGTTCTAACTTACTCTGAAGAATAAAAGCTATCAATAAAGACTAGTCTTCAAAGTCACTGCTGATTATTTCAAGTAAGGAGAGTGACTGCATTATAGCTTTTAAATTCTTACAGCACAATAATTGATAGCACCATCTATAACAATTATTTGCAATTTTCTGACAATAAAATCATGGTACCCACTTTATCTTTTAAATGTCCTTGTGCAAGATATATTTTATTAAGGCTCATACACTGACAAATTATTTTAAAAAGCTTAAACTCAGCATTAAATTAATACCTAAACTTTCCGTATCACAGGTATCTAATAATTCAATTATCTTCACCTGAACACACACTACATAGGCAAATATAGTATTAAAATTCATTCCCATTCAAATCAAAAGTATGCTATCTATTCAAAGCTTAGGCATTATAATTGTACCTCACTGACCTGATTAAAATAATCATAAGAAATTTAGGCTTCTATTTTTATCATGTAACTTCAAACTAATGGTCCATGGGTTTATGTTACAGTAATAGACTATGAAATATGTGACATCTCTGTAGAGTAGCATAAATCAAGTGGTTTTCTGGACCTGACCTGGCTGGACAACACTGGCAACCGTTGATCCCTGCCAGCACTCTACCTGCTCTCAGGGCACAACAGAAAAGGAAGAGATGCTGGTCCACCCTTCTGTTTTCACAGTGACCCGTTTCTGGATTACCCACTTGCTGTGGCATTGTTGAGGAGCAAATCCAGATTAATGGGAAAGCAGGAAGTCAGTGCTGAAATTGCTGACTGGGATAGTAAGCAATAAATGGTGAAACCTGAATTTAGCCATCCTAGCAAACTGTTATTTTCCCTAAGTACTCTGCTTAGAGGAATTATTTTTTTCCACCAAACACAATGTTAAATGGAATAGAATTACTCAAAGTAAGAAATCTCTAGCTACTGTAATACCCTATATATAATGTGATGTTTAAAATAAACTTTAAACAAAGTAACTAAATCACATTTTTAACCTCGCTGATATTTAGATTATAGTAGGATAATGACATTACCTCAACATTTGATAGAGCATCCTTGGTCTCCTTCAGCCTCCCTTTAGTCAGATCAAGCTCATTCTGAAGTCTTTCCTGGGAGTCCTGAAGACTGGCAATGAGTCCTTCGGCAGAGCCAAGTCCTTGTTCGCTTTTGCTCACCATTTCCTGGAGACGGCCAATCTGCAAGTAAATACAGTACTTTTAATACATCCCAGTGTAATCGACTAGCAAACAGTCACGTTTCTTAAAGTCTTTTCTTTAGATGTAATTTTACTGATGGATCTTTCTTGAAGAATTTGGAAGAAGTGTTCATGACAGTGTTCATCTGTTGTTTTTAGAAAAGACCTCCATATTTGTGATTTCCCTTTGTCATGGCAACCATGTAAATAAATGGATACCTCAAGCTCCTGGGAATTCCTGGTTATATCATATAACCAAAGACCCATTAAAAAGAATTGAAGTAAGATAAAGATTATGCCCAAGATTGAGAGGGAAAATATTTTTTTAAATACAAATATTTTAAAAATTGCTCTTTAAAGCGGAATCACATATTTCATTTGAGCCTTGTTCTCCATCTATTTATAAAAGTGATAGATTTCGATCAATATTGATAAGCTTAATGCAGCTTAAATTAAGGTATGCTGTGATTTCTGTGTTTCCATAAAAAAGCTGTGTCATGGAATTGTTGAGTTAAATTTATACACTCTTGAAATTAGCTAATAGACAATGTGTTAATTAAGCAGATCCATACCCACAAGTGATGAGAAAGAAAATCAATAAATGAAAATACTTTAAATTACTTTACAGGAAAACGCTATGACAAAAACATCTCATTTTTATAAAACAGCCAAGCCTACCAAAACTCTACAGAAATGACAACTGGTAATTTTAAAATAACACCTGAATATTTCTCAGTGTAAATACAGACATTACAAAGAAAACTGGAAATCCTTCAACCCCTCTCTAACCTGAAATTCCCTGTCCCCAACTTTCTGTCTCCTTTCCATGCAGATGTATGGACCTGCTCAGCAACTGTGGTGATGGGAGCACTTTATCTTGTTAGTATCTTTAAAGGAATGCCAACCTCATTAAATGAGCTGGGCGCTTTCAGTTTTTCTGGGCTTGGAAATATTTTCATAGCTAAGATTTACTTGCTTTTTGAAGATTTAGTAAAAGTCATTCACTAAAATTCTCTGGATCTAGTGCCTCTTTAGTATATGTGGTTTCTTTCATAGTATATATAGTTTCTTTCATAGCTATATAATTAGTTTGGCCAGGCTGTTTAACTTCTTTGAGTCATTTTAGAAATTTAAGACATCAGTTCTCCCTACATTTTAAAATTTACTAGCGTATTTGTACATAATATTCATATACAGTGCTTTAAATTTTTTCTGTCACTGTATTTATGTTACATTTCCCTAACCTATATAGTTTGTTTCTTCTCTACTTTTTGTGTTGATCTGGCTTGCCATGAAAGTGTTTTGCCCCAGTGAATGAATGAATGAATGTAAGAAAAGTGACTATTAACAGAGTTAAAGAGTACTGAACTTAGAAAAAAGTATAGTTTCAAGTTCTGGGTCTTTCAATACAAAATAGCAGTAAAAATACCTACCTTACAGATTTATTATAGTAATTGAATCCTAGGATGCATGGAAAAAGATTTTTTAACTAGAAAGCAACATACAAATATTAGGTACCAATCAATAAGGAAGGATAAAGCTATCAAGGTGGAGAATAATTTTCTTCCACAATCCAGAAAGTTTTCAGATAAATAAGGGTTATATACACAGAAGGAATACATAAAGAAAAACTTGTAAATAACAGTATTCATGGAATTACACAGGAACTAAAGAGTGTTCAAGAAATAAGACTCTAAAAGACAATGAATGTGTTTAAATAGAAAAAAACTTTAAACTTCTGTATAACTAAATAAGCAAACTTTCAAAGAACATTACTGATTAAAGTTTGTTTTCCAAATATAATAAAACTGGATATGTATGGAACACGTCTGTTGCCCTTCATTATCAGAACCTCCTTTTGTCACTGGGGGAATCTATCCTTCCTATGGGTCCATGAGGTCTCAGCAGGGCTTCAACCCAACTCCAGGACTGAAACGTTCACTAAAGCATAAACAAATAAGGTCATCTCATTCTGTTGACCAGGGGCAGGCACATGATTAAAGAGATCTCAGGGCTTTTAAAGGAGCTCCTAAAAAAGGCCATTTCCAGTTGCACATATACCTAAGGGGATGCATGACTGAAGAACCAGCGCACAAACAGAGCAAACCCAACTCAACAGAAAAAGAGAAACTGAGCTCCAGTGTTGACAGCTTCTGCTCTGAATCTGGTCGTGACTGATGCTAACGTTCTCCTGGGACTTTCTAGTCACATGACTCAAGGAATTTCCTTAGGCCAGTTTGAGCTGGGATTTCTGTCATGTGCAACAGAGATCAATACTCAGATTCTTCTTGTCAACGTGCACACTGAAGGAATTACAGTATGTAGAAGTCTCCTCCCTGGGATATCTACCCACACTTACTCTTCTCTCTGATCCATTCTTCATGACACTCCAGAGTCAACTTCTTATAATTACAAATATGAACACGAGTGTCAGCTCCACCCACCCACGCAACCACCCACATATTTGAACCCAGCATCTTCCAAATGCTTTCTGTTTCCTTCAGGATAACTTCTAAAATCTTTCAAGGGGCTTACAAGGCACCGCGGCATAGCTCCCGCCTAACTCCCTGGTCTTGGTTTGGCAACACTCCTCCATGGCTTTCATATTCATTGGGAAGGAGAGAGGCACTGTGGTTAAGAATTGAGTTCTGAAATTTCAATGCTAGGACTGGAATTCTGGCTTTACCCAATTACTATGTGACCTGGGCAAGTCACATAACTTTTTGTGGTTTAGTAACTAGTATTTACTGCATGGGATTATTTTGAGACTTAACAGTATAAATGAGAGAATATACTGAAAAAATGCCTGGGTCATAGTTAGAACTAAATAAATATTAGTACACTATAGTTACTTTTGTACTTCATCTATACTGGCATCCCTCCAATTCTTAGAAACTTCTCATGACTCAGGGCCTTTGCAGGAGCTTTCCTCAGTTTATTCTTGTAGCAAACTCCTGTTAATCACTTATCACCATTCTGTAATTTTTGCTGAATTTCTACTGTAAATTGTGTCAATAATCTTTAAGCATTTTCTTAGCTTCAATACACTAGAATGTATATCCTCCTCTTTAAGGCTTTTATACATGCTGCTAAATTCCTTTCCAAGAAAATTATGATTTTACATTCCCATCAGCAGCTTTTGGTGCTTATTTCTTTACACTTCCTTATCAGTGCTGCATGGTCTCGTATTTTTCTTAATCATTTTAATTTTATGGTAATGAAATGACATCTTACTGATTTCATTTCCAGTTTTCAAATTAGAGTGATATTAAAATTGTTTTCCATGTATTTAGCCCATTTAAAGAAAAACTAAAGTGCATTTTTCTTACTGCTTTGTAAACACTTTTCTGGTGTTTAAAGACTTAAATCTTGTTACTCATACAGTCTGCCAATCATTTATTCCACCCTCCCAGTTTTTCCTCTCTCATAGTTTTGTTGGTGGCTCCACGGTAAAGAATCCACCTGCGATGCAGGAGATGCAGGAGACGCAAGTTCAATTCTTGGGTTGGGAAGATCCCCTGGAGAAGGAAACGGCAACCTACTCCAGTATTCTTGCCTGGGAAATCCCACGGACAGAGGAGCCTGGTGGGCTACAGTCCATAGCGTCGCAAAGAGTTGGACATGACTGAGCATGCACGCACAATTTGATAGACAGAAGTTTTAGTTTTAACTGGACAAATATTTTGTTTTTAATTCATGACATGGCCATGATATTTCAAAAGGCCTTCTCTGTCCTTTTATTTTTGTCCCTGGTATTTTCATATTTTATTTATAGTCATGATTTAATATTACATTTTAATGCTTAGCCCATCTGGGAGTTTTTTGGTACCAGGTTGCAGGAGGAATCTAACTTTATTTTCCTCTTCTCTTCCATTGACATGTAGTATTAAAAAAGTACTGTCATCCACTATGATTCAGTTTAAACCTATTAACTCTAGCTTCTATCCTACTGTTCTACTGACATTATAGAAAAGTCCTCAGAGCACTCTTGATTGAATGACCTTTTCAGGCCTCACAGTCTGACTCTAATCACTGGGTGACATTGTGAGGCACTTCCAACCCTCTTTAAGTATTTGCTTCCGTGGTTTTCTAATATCCACTCATCCTTATTTTCCTGCTTTGATTTCTCCTTTTCAGTTTTGTTCCCTGGCTCTGTTAATTCAATATTGATACTGCTTTTGTTACCAGCAACCTTCTCATCAGCGATCCTCGGAAGACCTCTTCTTAAATGGCTTCAAGAACTGCCTGATCTTTAGCTCCAAATGCACACCCTAAACTAAGTTCCAGCAGAGATGTCTTACAATCACCTCCAAGTCAGTATATCTAAACAACTCAATGTCTTGCCATTCAATGTGTTTTTTACCCCTGTAATTCCTGTCTTGCAATAGTGGCATCATTAGCTGTCCCAAATACCTAAGCTAGACACCTGAGTCACTTTCTCCCACGTACTATATCAAACCCTATACATTTTATTTTAAAACTTTTAATTTTTTTAAACTTTATTGACATACAGTGGATTTCTAATAATATATTAGCTTCAGGTATACAAAATAGTGATTCAATAGTTTTATAGGTTGCACTCTATTTTAAAGTTATTACAAAAATAATGGCTATATTTCTCCATGCTATACAATATATCCTTGTAGCTTATTTATGTTACACATAGTAGATTGTACCTCCTAATCTCATACCCCTGTCTTGCCCCTGCCACCCTTCTCCCTACTGGTAACCACTAGTTTGTTCTCTATATCTGTGAGTTTGCTTCTGATTTCTTTTATACATTTGTTCGTTTTCTTCTTTTAGATTTCACATGTAAGTGATAACTAAGAATATTTGTCTTTTTTCTATCTGATTTACTTCACTAAGCACAATTCTGTGTGTCCATCCACATTGCTGCTCATGACAACATTTCATTCTTTTTTATTGCTAAGTAATAACTGAACTTTATATACAAACACATCTTCTTTACCCATTCATCTGTTGATGGACACTTAGGCTGCT